ACAACTGACTCTGACAACGAACGTCTGACAACTGACGACGACCGTCGGACAACTGACGACTGACATGGCAAAAGGAAAACATGATATCAGAAATTGGTGCCCTCGTCAGCACAAAAGGTGGTGTACTCAGCACAAAAAGGTGCACGTGTCAACAACAAAGCAGCGCAGCAGCATGTACGGGTCAGCAGCACAGAGACACAAATACAGCAGCAGCTACGACGAAGAGACAACACGTGCAACCACATGTACACACAGAGACACAAATACAGCAGCAGCTACGACGAAGAGATAACACGTGCAGGCGCAGGTACAACATTGGGACCGGGCACTGCCCGTATCTCAGATTTGCCCGTATCTCAGATTTGTCCGTATCGCAGGATAACTCATCTACCATGTATCATATCATTTTTGAAGAAGTTTATTTTGAACGTATTTCACATGTTCCGGATACAAAAGAACCGATTGATAAAAATGTGTGAATTACATAGGTTGGCAGTGAAAATAAGCACTTCCACATATGAAAAAAAGTTCAAAACCCCGAAATTCGAAGCATTTGTGCTATAGGAACTCAAGCTGAAGGTGCCCGGTAGAGAGACGTGCCCGTATCTGAGGCGTCCGGATAAGAGGCCTTTTGAGTGTACTGGTATTTAGAGGATACATCCGTTTTCCGCCCCTTCTGTTGCTGTTCATGTATGAAACTAGTGCCTGTGGTGTTCTTCTGTCACTGTGCGTCCCAACGGCCGTCGCTAACACGTCTATACTTTATTTCAAATGTAGCGATCTCAATTGTCAGAATCACGCACGATTGGCTCATGATTGGGTATTCCGTGTATGTCCTCTACTTATAGCTGCATGCTGGATTACAATATTATGTTGACAAATGGACCCATTCATTATTATAGATTCAGAAAAACATAACTTGCACATACAAAAAGCGTCTAGATGTTATCCTATAGGTCCATCATTGACGAGGAGCAACCTACGCAAACATTAGATACGCGGTACATAAAGGGAATGTTCCTGGTCGGCCGCAGAGCGCAACAGTGGTGGTGGTGAAGTGGACGCAGAATTGTCAAGTGCCGAGTGCAGCTGCTCACTTTCTTGCTATGCTCTTTAAAAAAATCTAACGACTGAGCTTTGCTGGGTCCTTACACACATTATAGATCAACTAAAGTTTTTTTTTCTGAACATTCGGGGTGACAGACCTCGACCAAAAACGGAATTTAGTACGTAACGAGCCTGCTGGTGGCGTGATCTAACGAAAGATTTCGTGAACGAAAATTTGGTACTTTAACCCTTTACCATCCGTGTGTACTTGAATCGATCTCTAGAGATCGATGGACATGCATACACTGAAACATTCGTAACTCGATCGATTCTTTGCGGAATTAAAAAAACTAAGTGTCTAGGAAGAAGCCGACGAGCTCAGCTTTCCATTGCATTAGTCGGTGAAGAGCTGCGATGTCGCATTCCAAAGATATGACGCTTGACATTTCAGCCACGGCAAAAGTCGAATTTCTTTCCGAGTGACAGACTGACAGACCTTGAGCGGGGACTTTCCCCTCTCCTGGCATGCTGAGTCACTTTGGCATGCTTTGAGCGCGTGGGTAGCATGAAAAGAAACTCAAGCAAAAAATTTGGAATGTTTACGATGAAGGAGCGAGAAATGACTGGCGAGGAGAGAATTTCCTCGTATATCCAGCGATGGGGTGTATTTGAAGCTCCCTGGCGCTGGGTATGTGATCTCGGTAGTGTCCTGTTTGAGCTCAATGTACGCAGCTCGTGGAGAGCTTTCCAGAATGCCCAAGATTGCGAAAATTGGTTGACTAGAACCGAAGATATTCTCAGAATACGGTGAGACAAATTGCATTTGGGATGGTAAAGGGTTAATATACAGTACATACTGTTAGGTACCTCCTCCCGTACCTTTTCTAGCTGGCCTGCATGCACTTGCGTACGCACCTTTTGTCTCCTTTTGCTCCGTTGGCCTGGGTAGCTACTTGCGCGCCCATATTTGCCATAGCTACCCAGGCCATTTATCTTGCCGTTTAGACTTGATCTCTCTCTCTCTCTTTTCTCACTCTTCAATGTAGTCGTTTCGTTCGTCTTGGTCTCTTGTCTCGTCGTCTACTAGTATAATAAATGTCGTTCCCACTAACCTGTTCCCGTTGTAATGTCTGGATATGTCGTCAGTCGTCCTGTTTCGAACTCAACATTGGCGCCCGATTATTGATCGACCCACGACCCTGAGATCATCCCATGCCCAGCCGTCCTCAACCGCCATTCGTTTCGTCTATGTCAACCTCGTCTCGTCCATGTCAGTCTCGTCTCTCCTACACCAACCTCGTCTCGTCTCTATCACCCTCGTCTCTCCTGATCCTACGCCAACATCGTCTCGTCTATATCAACCTCGTGTCGTTCAAGCCATGCAGGTCAGCTACCTTTCTCTCTTTCTTTTTTTGTATGCGTTCCTTCTTCGTCAAATTTATTTTCGTGAATTATTTTTGTAGTGTGTGTGCGCGCGGGTGTCCTTCATTAATATTAGGGGTCCGATCATGGTGAGCCACGCTCTCTTATTTATGTCGTATATTAAAGTGTAACTAGGCTCTATTAGCCGTGCAAAATACTAGTCATCAGAATACAATTCAAGTCCCTCGTCGAACTCCAATAGTTATTTTTTGGGCCATGTTTTGAAGGGGCGTTTGGGCCCGTTGTTATTGGCAATGTACACACTATAGTATGAGTAGTACAGGAACGTTGACGGTTGTAATGATCTGTAGTGCATTTTTTAGTCCACACTTTTGTGAGGCCCGTGCGTTGTGTGTGTGTGTGTGTGTGTGTGTGTGTGTGTTTTCTCCATCAGTCATTTTTTTAAAAATCTTTTTCTCTCTTTTTTTTCTCTCCGCGAGGACGCTGGATTTTTTTTTTCATGGAGGGGTGGTATGTTAGGTACCTCCTCCCGTACCTTTTCTAGCTGGCCTGCATGCACTTGCGTACGCACCTTTTGTCTCCTTTTGCTCCGTTGGCCTGGGTAGCTACTTGCGCGCCCATATTTTCCATAGCTACCCAGGCCATTTATCTTGCCGTTTAGACTTGATCTCTCTCTCTCTCTTTTCTCACTCTTCAATGTAGTCGTTTCGTTCGTCTTGGTCTCTTGTCTCGTCGTCTACTAGTATAATAAATGTCGTTCCCCCAACCTACCTGTTCCCGTTGTAATGTCTGGATATGTCGTCAGTCGTCCTGTTTCGAACTCAACAATACAAACAGCAGTGCTCAGGATGAAGGCACTCAAACATGACCTAGGTATATGCATGCGCACATACATTCATGCATGCATAAAGCAAAGTTGCCGGTGTTTTGCGAAAGTGCTCCATCCGCGAACAGGAGCTTGCGATACAAGTTCACAACGGCGAGGAGCCTTGTTCTGCCATCACTCCAAGTTTCATGGCAATATGTCCGATCATCTTTTGTTGTCTGATGACTGGCCATGTTGCTATGACACTCGGAGTAGGAGTGGAACAAAATAACCTGCCACTGTGAACATGTGCATGCATGAATAAGCACATGGCGAAAATGTGACACCATCAGAATGAATAGTTTCCCCGGAGACCAAAAGCTATGAAAGTTAGAAATAAAGGACACACTTCAGGTTTATTAATTAAATTCGACGGGTTCGCGTACCGGGCAGGTCAAGAACAAGGAGTCGTACAACTCCCTGGTCAAGAACCACCTTTCCACTTCCGTGGGACGCCACCACCCCATGATCAGGCGTCAGATGCGGCTCCTAAACGGAGGGGAGGATAGATCAGATCCACCAACCATAGGCCAAAGGCCTCAATCTCATTTGCCACATCCATGTATTACTCATGCCAGGCCACGAGTTCCCAATTAACTGTGGGTCGCAACACGGTTGGAAAAATCCTTCCGCTTCCAAGCAGGACTCGAACCTGGTACCTCTCGTTTCTCAATCATGGTCTTAGACCAACCCACTGTGCCTGCCTGCACTTCAGGTTTAAAGAAAGAGAAAAGAAAAAGGACCAAGGAACTACAAGTTCCGCTCTAATGTCCACTAACACCACCAGCTACTAAATAATCAACTCATGCGATTCGCACAACACTGACACTTCTTTAACCCTTTAAGAGCCGCCCCATACTTGAATGCGTCGTAAACGACGCATTCAAATGCAAAACTTCAAAAGATCGTAACTCAGTCCAATCTCGCTCAAATCCAGTGATCGAAATATCCAGGGCGAAGAGAAAACTCTCACCTGTCGGGAGAAACAATCCGCGAAGCGCTGCGAGCTACGGTTCCTGAGATAAATCACTCGTAAGTTGAGCCGCGATCGCGGCAATTTCAAAAGCGCGCAGTGCGACTTTAGTATTGACAATTTTGAGACTTTTCGTCACGCTGGTTTACTCGAATTTGCACGGGTTTCACTGTTGATATTGTCAAGAGTACACAGCGAAAAAATTGGAACTCCACGATCGAGCAAAATGAAATATCTGGAGCGGGACGCAATTGGACGCATTTGGGGCATTTTTCGTACTGTCGCTGCGATCTAGCGCTGGATAGACGGTGTGCTGGCGATCATGATCGACCTCATTCTCTTCCTCTCGCGGAGACCTTTCCAGGAAGCCCTAGATTGTGAGGATTGAGTGAGTAGAACTGAAGCTATGATCCAAGGAACACGAAAAAATGCAGAATTTTGAAATTTTCCTGTGGCTCTTAAAGGGTTAACAAAAAAAATTGAAATTTTCATTATACTTTCAAGCCTTCTCGTCAAGTGTAACACAATTTTAAAACTTTGGTGAAAGTGAGGCGTGATCTTTTTTCTAATATCAGAAAGAGTGCTGGGAAATATGCACCGAAACCTTTCCCCCAAAGACTACAAATGCTAATAACCTAAACAGGTGTTTAGTAATGGACAATCCAGCATGACATAGGTTCAAAAGAATAAAATTGAGGAGCAGAAGACATCAAGAGGCACTTCACAACTTACACTCGTAACTGTCGATATTTCTCCCCATTATCCCATCGATGCCTATAGCAAACACAGTATACACAAGGTAAAATCCCGAAACACTCTGTTAGAAGGTAGCTTAACCCTTTGAGCACGCATGACGTATTATTATGTCACGCAGAGTGTCACTGCTGCTACTCGTGACGTATTATTACGTCCTGAAAGTATGGCAAAGCAAGTCGATCCGTGCATGCTTCCGCTGCGCTGGACGACTCTGGGTCGCTGTACAGCAACTGTGGGGATGCGTAGGCGTCGTACAAAACAAATCGTAAGTCGATCGGCGCATGTACACAGAAGTTGTGTGCGAGTTTTGACGCGTGCAATTTGTAGTATTTTCAACAATGGCTCGTCGCAGACTTGCCACGGAAGAAGCCCTCCATAAAGTCTTCCTCGACCCTGACAGCGATGTGGAGCCGTGGACAGATGATGACGACTCTGACTGGCAGTCTGACAGCGATGTTGAGCAGGAGGAAGTCCAAGACAACGCACAGGGAGCTGCTATGTCGATCGATCTTCCGCCTGCGAGTCCCGCTGCTGCTGTTGTTGATGCTCCGCTTGGACACGCAGACGACGACGCACCCGAGAGCGGTGAAGAGCAGTAGGACATGTCCTGTAAGTCCCATGTGATGGCCACGGAGACATTAGGCCCCAATGACGATTGTTCCGAAGGTGAGCTATATATTTCTGAATTGCTAAATTGTCAAAAAATTGAATATTTGAATTGCAAAAATGTTGACGACATTGTCGCACTTGTGCTTACAATACACGCATAGCGAAGGCTTTTCACGTGTAGATACACATTCCTGTTGTATGGCTTTGCATTTTCTGGCTACAATAAAGGGGCAATCGCTATAGAAATTTGTTGAAATGAATATCAGGAATCAATAAATTATTTAAAAAAGGAGAAGAAACACATGAGAACAAGTTATGCAGCAACTATCCACGACTGTAACAAGATGATAAACGGTCAGAATATGCGATAATAGGGCACAACACTGACAGGCTACTGCACTTTCGCACTTTCTGACCGTTTATCATCTTGTTACAGTCGTGAATAGTTGCTGCATAACTCGTTCTCATGTATTTCTTCTCATGTTTACATTTATTACTGGCTCAGTATCCGAGTTAAAAAATTATATTTGTAATTATTTTTGTAAAAATTAATTGTAATTGAAACAAGTATACCGTATTTCCCCGTGAGTTAGTACGTACTAACTTTCGAACTTAGCAGCCACATAAGTACTAACTTTCAGGGGTGGTACTATCTTTCGGGGAGTATTTTTTTATCGGGGGTAAATTACATGCAGTGGGAAGCCTGCGCAATTCTAGTGTCCGTGCATATGATGTATGTACTTAACGGTGTCTGTACATGTAGGTCAGGTACGAACTTACTATCTTTCGGGGGGAACTGTCTTTCGGGGTGATAACCTCGGCAGTGGAAAGTGTATTTTTTATGGGGGGGGGGGGGTACTAAGTCATTGGGGAGAACTTACTTACGGGGAAATACGGTATTGTTGTAATCAACAGCAAAATTGTTAGCTACTGTAAAGCGTGAAATTTTCGCGGCGTTTTTAGTTCGCGTTTTCAGAATCCGGACAGGTTTGCGAGGTTTTAATTTTGCGATTGCAGAATGGCATTCTTGCTAATCCTGTGGCATTCTTGCTAAACCTTTCATGGATCTCCTTTTCGCGCTGTCTAAATTTCGCGATTTCCACGCGGTCGCGAATTTCGCAGAAATTAGACCATGGCAACGAGAGAGCTTGGAAGCTCAGGGCACTACGCTATGCTTTTTTGCCTTGATGACCTAGACAAAAAAAAGCATAGAGATGTTATAAATTCTTTAAAAAAATCCTTCTTTTAAGACCTGGGATTCGAACCCGCACTATCGCGCGCCCTGCATGCATCCCCCGATACACTTCGCATACATACTAATTCTTCCAAGTTGTTTCACATTGTGATCTTGCATTTGAAAGCCCTGTTTGAATATGCATTGTGGCCAGCCGTCTTTGATGGCACGGTACGGTAGGGGATAGGTACGGGACAGGTACGATCGAGGGTAATACGACACCGTCTCCCGTACCGTACCGTACCATCAAACACAGCTGGCCACATACAGCTGCCCGCAATATTCAAATAGGGCTTTCAAACGCAAGATAATAACGTTAAGCAACTTGGAAGAATGGGTATGAATGCGTAGTGTATGGGGGAATGCATGTAGGGCGATAGTGCGGGTTCGAATCCCAGGATATGCCTGAAAAAAAATAGGAGAATTGAAAAATTTATAACATCCTATGCTTTTTTGCCGTCAGATACGGATAGCGCCAGGCGTGACACAAACAAACACACAAACACACTAATACCAAATTAAAGCTGTGTGGACCCTGGCTAGCGCCAGACGTTACTGAAGTAACGTCTTCTGCATAGCTACGGGAATAATTTCACGGTTTATAGTAGCTGTCCACTATCCATGCAAAAGTATGAAATTATGCAAAGTTGTCTGAATCCCTGTAATCGTAATTTCACAGGCTACACCATAATTCAGAATGAATATTTGGTAAATATATTTGTGATGGCGATATAGTATGGTTGCTAAATTGATTTTTTATTCCCGTAGCTATGCAGAAGATGTTACTTCAGTAATGTCTGGCGCTAGCCAGGGTCCACACAGCTTTAATTCCCGTAGCTATGCAGAAGACGTTACTTCAGTAACGTCTGGCGCTAGCCAGGGTCCACACAGCTTTAATTTGGTGTGTGTTTGTTTGTTTGTTTGTTTGTGTCACGGCTGGAGCTATCCCGTATCTGTCCCGTATCTGTGACTACAAAGGCTCTACAGGATTGTACATAACAGCTGTCCACAATATTTGCGGGCTCCTGTATCTGTCCCGTACCGTACCAATATTCGTCGTATTATTTATACGACTCCCTGATGTAGAGGGAGATTTGGAAAGAAATAGGGAGACGAGGAGGAAATTAAATTAGAATAGACGCCGATTAGGTGATAGGATGCGTCAGCATAAAAATACTTTGGAAGAGAGATCCCGTCGTCTCGACAATAAGCATGAACGAGCGATTCAGCGCCGGTCACAGGAAACGTCGGAAGAGAGATCCCGTCGACTCCAGAACGCCCGTGATCCGCAGAGCCCGCCGGTCCCAGGCAACGTCAGGACAGACATCCCGTTGAGTCCAGAACGCCCGTGATCGGCAGAGTCTAAGCCGGTCCCAGGAAACGTCAGGACAGACATCCCGTCGAGTCCAGAACGCCCGTGATCGGCAGAGTCAGCGCCGGTCCCAGTAAACGTCAGGACAGACATCCCGTCGACGCGCAGAAAAACTAAATCTGCAGCCTCTTTTGCCGTCGGACAGGATACGTATTTTAGGAGAATGTAAAGTTATGTAATGTCCAAATTTCCGCGTGAGCAGCAGGTCACTGGCGTTGATTTTTTGACGTGCGAGCCAAATAACGCGAACTGAACTTTCGTCAACGCGCAGAAAAACTAAATCTGCAGCCTCTTTTGCCGTCGGACAGGTTACGTATTGTAGGAGACTGTAAAGTTATGTAATGTGCTCCACAGACAACCATGCATTTGGCGTGGTCATTGGCTCAACAGGTCAATGTACATGTATAATTATTACTACAAAAAGGCCAGAAAATCCGATTACTGCATTAAAATCAACTAATTTTCGCTGGCGATTTAATTTCGCTGATTTCGCCGCTTGGTACCAACCGGCCAAAGTAAATCGCAGGCCAAAGTTTGTCATATAGGCAAATGATGCATGATTGAGCAATGGATGCATGTGAGAGCAAAAATACCGATCGATTTCAAATTTGACGTGACATTGCGCGTCACGTCGGAAATAACGTGCATCTTAACCTCTCTAAAAGAGAGGTTTTAATTCCCGTAGCTATGCAGAAGACGTTAACTTCAGTAACGTCTGGCGCTAGCCAGGGTACACACAGCTTTAATTTGGTATTTGTGTGTTTGTGTGTTTGTTTGTTTGTGTCACGCCTGGCGCTATCCCGTATCTGTCCCGTACTGTACCGTACCAGCAAAGACAGCTGGCCACAATATTTTTGTTTGTTTGTGCCATCGACATGCCTGGCGCTATCCCGTACCTGTCCCGTACCATCAAGAGTACGGTACCAACAAGAGAATGAGTATATATGCGAAGTGTATCGGGGGAATGCATTCAGTGCAGTAACATTTTGTGTGGATTTGTGTGCGAGGCCGAGATCCCACTAGCAGGCTGGCTGGGCCGCCTGTCGACCAGCCCGGGAATCGCATGTAGGCGGATAGCATAATAATTATAACGTTTATACAGTCATGTAGATGTATAGCAGGGAGTCATATTATGTAAACGACTCCCTGCTGTATGGGGAGATTTTCTGGATAGAAATACGAAGTAGGGAGACGAGTAAATGCAATCAGAATGGATGTTAGTTGCCGTCAGTATAATAATAATAAGAAGATAAACTCCCGTGATCGGCAGAGTCAGCGCCGGTCCCAGGAAACGTCAGGACAGACATCCCGTCGACTCCAGAACGCCAGTGATCGGCAGAGCCAGCGCCGGTCCCATAGCTATGCAGAAGACGTTACTTCAGTATCTCATTGAAACGTTTTTGCAATACAATGATGTAGCTTATCAAAGGAAAAAGCATTTCCATCAGTTCTAACAACATGCACGAGGAGCTAGGCAACAAAACATAGCGCAGGGCCCTGAGCTTCCCAGCTCTCTCGTTTGGTGTTTGTTTGTTTGTTTGTGTGTTTGTGTCACGCCTGGCGCTATCCCGTATCTGTCCCGTACCGTAACGTACCATCAAACACAGCTTGCCACATACAGCTGGCCGCAATATTCAAATAAGGCTTTCAAACGAAAGATCACAACGTGAAACAACTTGGAAGAATGAGTATAAATGCGAAGGGTATGGGGGAATGCATGTAGGGCGATAGTGCGGGTTCGAATCCCAGGTTATGCCTAAAAAAATAGGAGAATTGAAATATTTATCGCATCCCTATGCTTTT